TTCACCAGTATCCCTATTTCTCATGACTCTGACCTGCCAAGATATGAAATGATGCCATAATCAGGGAAAATCAAACAATTGAAGTATGTCACAAACATATGCCTCTTGCAAAACTTTCACATTACTTCCAGGGTAGTAATTGGAACTACCTCATGTATTTCACCGAGTGGTTCACAGAGATCCCTCAAGTCTTCTTCAGAAACATCTCGAGGAATACCACCAATAAAAACCTCAGACCCATGTGGAGGGAGAGCTAGAAGTTCAGCATGCTCTTTTTGTTCCTCTTCAGAAAGAGAAGCACTAGGCTTTTCTTCATCTGCAGCAGGCTCCGAAACATCACCCATATCTGCCTCTGGAGACTGCTCTCTCCCACTGTCTCCACCTCCAGAATCATATGATTGTTCTTCGCCATTTTCATCACCGACTTCTCCAGCTCCTTCATCTTCTACCAGTTCTGCATCTGCATCTTCCTCTTCCTCAGAGTAATTTTCATCGTCAAGATCCACACGGTCATCAATTTCAGTATTCTCTGCCATGACTGTTTCGTGTTGCAGATTTTCTCATACAACAAATAAACAGGCCTGCAGACCACATTTATGTTAGCTTTTTTCCTGTTGACGTATATACATCAATCAATCAACCAATTAGTCATCAACTGTTTCACACCCAAATTACTTAGGGTTAGCTATATAGATATGTCAAAGGTTGGCATAATCATATTTTTCTTTATAAGAACAAGTAAACCCTATGTACATGCAAGTAATGAAGGAGGTTCAGTACTCTCTCCTGTTGTGCACCAAAAAGGGAACACATGTAATATTTCAATATATTCAGGGAGACAAAAATACAAAATCAACAAATGTGCAACCCATTTCAAACTTATAGAAACACTACTTCTACCACTTTCTTCATTTTCCATCTTTCGAAGCCCAATTCATTCGCCCATGGTGGCATAAATTTAAGATGAAGTAGCAAACGATGAAGAAATGAATCTTTCGGTCATAAGAAAGAAAATACACTGTTATCAATAGACCAAAAGATAAAAATGCATAGAAAATAGCAAGACACTTCCTTAAAATTTTAAGATAACTTTCACCACTTGTTTATCGAGTGTTAAAAATAATTAAGTACTCAAAATGCCTATAGAAGGACAAAAGCTCTTCAGTGGACTCAACCAACACAGAACTATGAACTCATATAACAATTCAGGTATCTGAGGAGTTAAAATCAACAGCAAAACAAAATCTTAGAAATCAAACATCTGTAAAAAAGATAAATTTTGAAAACCCAGAGCTCAAAAATCAACAAAATAATCAAATGCTCAATATGCCTATAAAAAAAACAAAACCTCTTCACTGAACTCAACCAATTTTACTACCACCATATAACTATAAACAACAATTCAGACATCTGAGGAGCTCAAATCAAAGCTAAAACAATAAAAACACGACCCCCCAAGTCAAAAATCCATTTTTTTTTCCTTTCAACAATGGTAAACAGAACAACCAGGGTCGAAGCCAAGACACCACAAGGGGGTTCATCAAAAAATTACCTTACTGAAAATTCAGTCACCCTTTAAGAATGACCCAAATCAAAGATCCGAAAAAAAAAAGAGAGAAACTTGAAAACCCAGAGCTCAAAAAAAAACAAATGCACCCAGATAAACTAATGAGTAACAAAACCCTAACACAAACATAGATAAATCCGTACACATCTACCCAGTGTTTTATATACAAAATTGAAGATTCTGAACCGGTAATTCAATATAAAAACATATAGATGTTAAAAACTGATAAAGGGCAAAAGGAAAAAAACCTTGTATGAGTATGGGCGCAAATGATAAATGGCAGAAATAGAGAATGTGAGAAGAAGACATTATATGTATATGTATATGTATATGAGTAGTAGAAGAAGAAGAAGAAGAAGAATATATGAGTATTGGGGGGATTTGCATACCCAAAATTAGACAAGTTTTTTGCTTATCTGTGTTGTGTTTCTGCTTCTTTAGGAGGAGAGAGTTTGAAGGCGAAGAAGCTAAATCTCAACAATACAGTGAAATTTACACACACAAAAATGCTCTTTCGACTTCTTTTATATACTGCCTGCGATTTCAGTGTCTTCCCAATTTGGCCCTAATTTGGGTATTTGGTACTCTCTACACCTCATTGCCCCTGAAAAAGAGGTTGATTTTGTCAATTCATAGATAAAGTTGTAGGGGTATTATCGTCAATTTGAAGAAAAAAATTACCAAAATTGCCCTTGTACTATTGAAGAAGATTCATGTGTTTGGTACGAACATTTTTCAATTTTCTCATGTTATGTTTTAGAATATTTTGTTTAACTCAAATTTAAGGAAAATGTATTATCTTCGAAGAGTAAAGAAAATATTTTATTTTGTAACTATTTTTCAACTGCACATGTTAATTTTTCATTGAAGTTTTGGATATCGATTTTTAATATTAATTCGGGATCCAAGAATTTTAGGTTCGGGATTCGAATTTTCGACTTTGATTCGAGATCCAACTTCTGAGTTTTGAATTGGGTCAGATCTTATTTTGATGTCGGATTTCAAGTCATGATTTGAGATTAGATTTCAGATTGGGTGTCGAGGTCGAGTTCTAAGTCAGGCGTCGCAGTGGCGTTCTGAGTCAGGTGTCGGAAGGGGTTTCGAGTTGAGGTTGAGGTTGGGTCCTAGCTTGATGTTAGGTTGGTCCTAGATAGGGAGTCACGGTTGAGTCCCATAATGGGTGTTGCGATCCGATTTCGAATCAATGATAAGTCATATTTTGATCCGAAAGTTGGGTCTTGCATTAGCCGTCAAGGTCGGGTTCTGATTCAAGAAGTCAGATCTTGGATCACGAGTTAATGTCATGACCTAGGTTAAATGTCTAGTTCAGGTATCAAATCCATTATCCGAGTTATGTGTTTGGGTTAAGTCTCAATAGAAAATTATTCGATTCAGAGGTCACATTTAGGTGCTACTCAATCGTTAAGTGTTTTTCTCTTCTTCTTTTTTTTTTTTGTGTCTTAGTACATGAATTTTTTTGTGATATAAATTTTGGACATTTTTTTCAACAGACTTTACATGAGCCTTCACAATTAAATGTGGGAACAATACACATAGGTTCACCATGATACACACCATTTCTTTTCTTTTCTTTTTTAATTTAAGAGCCACACACAGGAATTAGACAACTTTTTCAAAAAAAAATTATGTGTAAATGAATTTTTTGGTAATATAGGTTTGGGTACATTTTTTTCTAAAACATTATAGAACCTTTTGTAAAGATTTATGGAAAAATATAAATTTTGATCAAAATTGATGTAACAATACCAAAATTTTGGAAAGGACCGTGTACAATCGCACATCATAAATATGTGTCATCATAAATAATAATGTGCCCACGTGGGCACATATATACCTATAAAATACATTATTAAATGGTCGATGGGGTAAAAGTTCCTCCATAAAGTTTGATATCGTAACAAAAATTCTGGCCAAAGTTGAAATATTTTTCAAACTCTTTTCCCAAAAATAAATATTCCTCACCATTACCAAGACCGGTTTTCTAGCATTCACGAACCACACAACAAAATTTAGGAGATTTTTTTAGATTTTCGTTGATATGAATTTCTTGATGATATAGATTTCAGACACTTTTTTTTTTATAAAAACTATACAAACATTTCATAAATGACCTATTAGAACAATACATATAGCCAATAATGATACATGCAACTTTTTTAAATATCAGGGTAATCAATAGAAATTAGATGATTTTCTCAATATTTTATGCGTGTTGATAAATAAATTTTTTGTTGATATGGATTTTGTGTATTTATTTACAAAACTTTACATGATCCTCTGTAATGACCCGGAGAACAATATATATAACCTCACCATGATTCACACCACTTTTTCGCATTTAAGGAGCCACTCAACAAGCATTTAGGCGATTTTCTTATGTGTTAGTACATGAGTTTTTTGATGATATGGATTTCGAGCACATTTTTTACATGACCATCTGTAATGACTTGGAGGAACAATACATGTAGCTTCATCATGACCCACATCATTTTTTAAAAACATTTAAGGACTATTCAATAAGAATTAGACAATTTTATCATTTTTTCGTGTTTTTAATACATGAATTTTTTGATGATATGAATTTCGGTTACATATTTCAAAATAATTTACCGGGCCCTACATAATGACCCGGAGAACAATATGTATAGCATTAACATGATCCACACCATTTTTTTTAGCATTTTATGTTCATTCAATAGGAATTAATTCATTTTTTTTAGTATTTTTGTTTGTGTTAGTCCATAATTTTTTTGGTGATATACCTTTCATGCACCTTTTTTCAAAATCCTTACAAGACCATATGTAATGACCCGGTGGAACAATATTTATAGTTTCACCATAATCCACGCCACTTTTTTTTTAGCATTTAGGGTTACTTTTCTCAGTTTTTCATGTGCTAGTCCATGAATTTTTTGGTGATATGACTTAAAACTTTTTTTTTACAAAACTTTTACAAGGACCATCCATAATGACACGAGGAACAATACATATAGTCTCACCATGATCCACACCACTTTTTTAGCATTTAGGGGTTACTCAACATGAATTAGGCGATTTTTTTAATTTTTGGTGAAATCTTGAATTTTTGGTAATATGACTTTCGGACACTTTTTTTCCAAAACTTTTACATAACCTATAGCCTCACCATGATCCACACACTTCTTTAGCATTCAAGGGTCACTCAATATGAATTAGGGCCACCTTTTTTAGCATTTAAAGGTCCCAATATAGAAATTCAGGATCTTGTTAATTTTTCGTGTGTAAAGTCGATGAAAGTTGGGTAAAAGGATTGACCTAATCATCAATTATCTTACATTAAAATTCTTATTATTGTTAATTTGTCTATATGGCTGCAAGAATGAGGAAGAAGATGCCCCTGATACAGAATGCCAACACATTGGAGCTACACAAGTTGAACAAGGAGAGCTTAAAGCACCCAAATATCCTATTTTTTTATCAGTTCCATGTACAATTGTGCTATAGAGTATACATAAGATTTTCTTTGATTGAAACTGGTTTAGAATAAAACACTAGTCAACATTAATAAGAAAGTAAACTAGAAGCTAACAAACATCTTGAGTTGAGAGAACTAAAGTTACTTGCATCTCTCTCAGGGGTAGCTGATGTCTTTTTCAACGCGGGGTGTATTCATGGGAAGTCTCAGTCAGAAGCAAGAATGACAATGTCTTCAAATGCAAATCACAGAGAGAAGATATCAGAACACTTCTACATGCTGAATTGAGCCTAAACTAGCACCAGATGTGTATTCATGGCTAGACGACTAAACTCCAATAGCGAGTGACAGTGTTCATCAGAGGAAGCCCAAACATCACATTGCAAGCATACCTTACAAGGAAATGAATTTATTGAATTTGAAGTGACTTAGGCTTCCAAGTGGATGGTGTGAGAAGTGTAAAAACAAATCTAGGGGTCATCCAATTCAACAATCTGTGCTCTTTTCTCAGCAGCTTTCTTCTTGATGAAGATGCCCCATCTCAATGCTGCTTTTAGTTTGAGCCAACCAACAACAGCCTTTCCTGAACGTGTACGGTCCTCATCAATACCAAAGCTTGAAGACATACTGGGCATGTATGGTGATCCATATGGGTAATTATTATCTTCTGAGGTACTAGAAGAAGCATGATGCTGGCCACCCATGTTGAATATATGGAGAAGATGTTGCATGTCATCATTCTCTAACATTTCTTGACTTCTGGTGCGTATCTCTTCCTCTGTATAGAAGTCATCAGTTCCTTTATAGGATGAATTAGGAGTGTTAGCAGCAAAAAAGCTAGAAAATGGTGGCTGTGGTGGGTGAAGGGCCGGTCTACTCTCACTTCCAGTTGGCTGAGCTTGTTGTGACATGCCTACAAAGTGGTTTTGAGAAAATGAAGCACCACTTAACTGTTCATTGACACTAAGATTCGTGTTCTGAGACTCTGTGGTATATGTACCCATTAGACTATCGTTATACCCTGGCAAAACAGAGATATGTTCATTATGAAGCAAAACTTGATAAAAGATATGCAAGAGACAAATAGGTTTTATTGCATATCTAATGAGCTAGCTCAACTGGGCAATTATTCATACAGAGATCAACCAATTGTTAGGTAAGAGTTACAAAACATTCGAGTGCTTAACTAGAATGAGTTCATGTCATACATGGCACAAAAATATAAAGCTCCTTCTCAACCAAAAAAAAAAAAAAAGCTTAAGGTACTCTGTCCCATTTTACGTGATAGCTTACTAGGCATGGTGACCTATGCTGCTCAGATTCTTCAAAAATGTAGCCGAACCCACGTCAGATCCTCAAAAAGATGCACTACTTTTGGTGGATCAAACACGCACCGTCAACATTTTAGAAGAGTTTGAGCAACGTAGATGGTGACTAAGAAGTAGATTGCCTTGGACATAATTTTTTTTAGGTCACTTGTATTCTATTCCAAAAATCAAACCTGCCACAACATGTTACAGGTTTACTAATTGCAAATATAGGGGATTATCAGGAAGATCTTAAACCCTAGTAGCAAAATTACAAAAATGCCTAAAACATTCATCACTGATTCTAGATCTTCCATATACTCTTGTTTACACCAAAAAAGAAACAAAAGCAAACAATTCATCTTCAGCTTCTGGATGTTGTTGCTTTTGTTCTGGAAGCATCTGAGATTCCTTTCTTTCCACGCAGACCACCAAATATATGGGAGAATGATCTTTCATAAGTTGGTTAAGAGTAAAACATCACATTATCATACTTAGACTATTTCCATACTGATTCAACACTATTGCAGTCCTCTTCGATTGAGATTCACAACTGCTATATTTTCTAAAATAGGTGGAATTGTTGGAGGTAGTAAAATGCTGAAACAATGGATAACTTGCTTAGACAGGAATTCACTTGTGACACCTACAGTAGGTTTCTTTCTAAAGCACTATAACCACAGAGCCAAGATGTACTTGCCATTGTATGTGAGAATAATAGAGGACAACGAAAGCCCAAAAGTCACAAGTATAACTTGCTTTATTGAGTATTGACCAGCAAAGGTTACAACTTATAGTGCTCTACAGATAATCAGATAGATATAAAATCAATTTGCTTTTCCAACTCTTGGATTGTTAAAGCTATATGTCAAATTTTGATGTCTTAATGCAAAGAACTATTCCCAATAAACCCATAACTTTTAGATATGAAGGCATAGTTATTTAAATGAAGAGAAAGCGCAAGCAGGTAAAAATGACAGACCATGTTGCGGGAAACAAGTTTTCAGAAGATCACCAATCATAGACTGGCTAAGGACGATAACACTGTCTCAAACTTACGAAAAAAGGGCATGCCAGAGAATATGCAATGCGTTATTTACACTCAAAGTTCAGGCTTATGTTACTGGATGTGTGGAGTTTCTTATCATTTAGATTCATATTCAGCAATGAATTATCTTTCAGTTACCAAAGGAACTCACTAAGAAGCGAACTCAGCACTAAAAGCAAAACAATGAACAAAATAGAACACACTACAAGATAACATTTCTTAAGCATCAAACTAATATTTTACATCTGATGCATATATGTATACCTTCCAATCCCATGTTCAATCCTGAATTCATGGGAGGCTGCTCTGATGAAGTTGAAGCAGGAAGACTTGGCAGATTGAGTTGATGATCAAATGAATTAGGATGGTTCTGAGAACCAGTTGAAAGATCATACTGAGGAGCATCTGAGGTTTTATTCTGATCAAGACTTAGAAGAGATTTGCCATCATATTCAACAACATGCATCCAGTTGTCATATGCCTTCTTGACTAAGGTGTCCACATATTCCTGCAAGAACAGTTTGATGTTTGCTTAAGCTCTTCCTCATACCGGGAAGGTACAATCCATAGTCAAGCTTATGCAAATGGTAGTAACATGTTATATACTAAAAAACACTACTTCCAACGTTTTACATATGACAGAGACAAAAGAAGAGTACAAACCACATCAAAATATAGGCTAAAAACAATTAACTCCCAAATAAGTTAGGGTTGGCTATATGAATCCTCATTTCGTCATTTAAGCTCATATCACACCATAATAATAAACAAAATAGAACTGAAAAAATTACATTAAAATTATATATAAAATAAAATAAAAGAGACAAACACAACAATAATAAGAAGAAGAACAGTAATAAAATTTCCATACGAGTCTAAAACCTAAACTAGTAGCTATCACCCATTATGGATCTTTTTCCTCCATTATGCCCTATCCTTAGCTAACTCTGTATTGATACTAAACAACTCTAGGTCTTCTGAGACTACTTCATTCCATATAATTTTAGCTCTACTCTGTCCCCTTTTAACACCTTCACTTACCAAAGTTTCACACATACGAACCAGTGCATCTATAAGTTAATGCAGAACGTGTCAAAGCCATCTCAAGTGAACTTCTCGCAGTTTATCCTCAGTGTGTGCTGCTTGCACTACTTGGCGAATGCGGTCATTTCTAATCCTATCTAATCTGGTAGGACCGCACATCCATATTAGCATCCGCCATGTGCATCTCTGCAACACTCATTTTGTGGATATGTTGGAATTTACCCAACATTCACTACCATACATGATACAACAAAGTCAGTCTTATAGTTGTCATATAGAGCTTATCATTCACTTTGATAGGTATCTTTCTATCATATAACACCCAGGTAAACCTTCTCCATTTCAACCATCCCCTTTTTAATCCTATGAGTAACATCTTCACCTATCATTCCATTGGCATTGTCTTGACAAAACGAGCCTAAATATCTAATTGTTTGCATTTTAGCACTGCAATTCCATCTAGTCTCACCTCAACTTCTCTCCTCTCATGCTCACTAAACCTGCAATGCAGGTATTTGATCTTACTTCTACTTATCCAAAAACCCTTCTCTCTAACATGCTTCTCCATAGTTCAAGCTTTTGGTTGACCTCCTTGTTTCGTCAATATACATAATATCCTCAGCATTTAAAGAGGCTAAAAACAACTTCAGTAAAAAAATCGTGCAAATTGCATAAAAATAGGTGGTGGCCGGAAGATCGGTATTGGATTTAAATAGGCAGAAAACGGCTTTAGTAAAAATACTCAGTCTCAAATACTTTAGGGTCAAACACGGTTGGACCGAAAGATTTGGGTTGTGAATTACAAAAACCTAGATTTAACCCATTTAAGGACATGCTTGATAACACCCATTCCCTTGACTTCGGTATATGACAAAGTAAATATTTTTTTTGGAGGTGCTGGAAAAGATGAATTTTTCTCTGCTTTACTGCAAGCAAATTGAAGAGCATGATATTTTTTCTTTTCTTCATTTTACAAAATTATTAGATGAGTCCACAACTTGTTCAAAAGAAGAAAAGAGAAAAGAGAATCAAACATAATTATGTAAAAGAGGAAAATGAATTCAAGAATACAAACCTTTTGATCCTCTGAAAGAGAATCAACTGAATGATACTGTCCACCAGAGATAAAACCACACAACTCATAAATATTGCTAAAAACAACTCCGATACTCTTCATATCATCTGGATAATAGACATAGAGCTTCCCACTAAGAACACAGGTCTTAGCATGCTCCACGAGAGCATCCCACATCTTATTTGACATTCCACTTCCCAGGATCTGAGACAATTAGGTAAAAAATAAAAAGAAATGTTGGATATAACCACAATTATCAAATAAATTTCCAACATTATAGGTTTGATATTATTACATTTCGGAGCCTCTGAGAGTCTCTCACGATGAGTCGTAGAAAGTCTTCCACTGTATATATGCCAGCTTTATTTAGCCTCTTGTGGAAGGATCCATCTTTTCCTATCTTTTCCAATCTCCAAACATCATCGTTTAATGCAGGTGGATAATGTTTCTTGTACACTGAAGAATAAGAAAGTCATGGAACTACAACAGAAAAGATAATTGTGATTTGCATAAAAAAAATGGCACATAATATGACATTTAACAGACTCACATTCTCCTCGATGATCCTTCACACTGAAGGCTTCTGTTTTTGCCTCTCGAATATGAATTCCCTCTCGAGAACCTGATACTACTTTTAAGCCTAGCCTGAACTTTCTGCTTCTAATCCAGCTAGAGTTGTCAGTAAATGCTAACTCACCAAGACTACCTACACCTTCCTTCAATATCACTTGCAAGTCTCCTGTAAGAAGCGGCCTTTTCCCATCACGCTCCTTCACAATGTGAGACTCAAATTCTTCTTCAGTCCATCCATCATCGTCCTCATTATTAAAATCTCCTCCAAGCACAACAACATCTAGTTTAACAGAGGACTCTGGGCCGACTGTTACAACATGGCCTGTATTTCCATTAATTAAGACAACATGGATGGTAGAACCCTGTTCTCCTTCTACTTTCCCTCCTGTAAAGAGAGGCAGTGACAATTTAGACCTGAACTGAAGCTGCAAATTTCTCCCATTTGGCCCTTCAATTCTTTTTGGAGAAACCCTGCATCATTTTTTAGTTGTCAATATCAAGGTGGAGTGGACAGTCATTTAAAGCAAAATTACATGGGAACTCAAGCACGTAGGCCTAACTCAAACCCCTAAAGCTAGCTATTGAGGTGGGAGAGCCAAAGGCTGAAAACTCCACCTCAGCACGTAGTAGTATAGCTGTGAGACTGGACCATAACAAACCACCAAGCTCTGCATCCATCGTCCTCGATGGCTGTATGCTAGACATTAGTAGCCCCAGACAAACACCGCAATACCAGTGTCACTCTCCAAGGCACGACGGACATAAAGGGCGATGGTGGCTTTGATACCATGTAACAACCTTGGGTATCACACCCCAAAAGCTAGCAATTGAGGTGGGAGCGCCCAAAGTTATATAAACCCCACCTCAGCACATAGTAGTACCGATTTGGGAGTGGTCCATAACAAACCAGAGGCATTACTCTCGCTTTTGATGAAATTGCCTTAGTGGCATAGAGTTGAGTGGCAAAGAACCTTAAGGTTCTGATCCAAATTTAACACAGGCACTATTTTTAAGCTAACCAATATTAAAGAAAAAAGAACAAAGATTGCATATTTTTAGTAACATCCAAATGTTAGTCATGCTAATTCTTGAATTTATTCCATTAGTAATTAGCATCCAACGGAAGACTAGTCAGAAATCTATACAATTTAAAAGAAGAAACTTGTAAAAGGAAGTCAAGTTAATTACAGATTGAAGTTTGGAACTATGACAATTCCAATAAAACCAGCGAAGCAAAGGGTAATTTCTGTTTGAAAAGATTCACATAAATTATAAAATACCATGGAGCACTTTAATGTGAGCAGATCATATTAAGCAACAGACATTAAGAGAGAGAAAATAGTTGATTCCAATCTGATTGAAGCCTGGGCCCTTTTCCATTTAGTATGCTTTAATATCTAACCATTTGTGGAGCTCCATAAATTGATAAAGACTTAATAGAGACAATTTTTAAACTATATAATACCTTTCCAAACTGAAATCATGTCTCCCTAACCAATCTTTTGACCAAATTAGCTCTTATATTGCTGCCATGCAGCACTATCATTTCATTAAAAATCTACAACATGGAAGCTAATCAACAGAACATACTGAATACATGACTGCTACTTTGGTGCCTGCCTGACCTAAATTTGTAACGTCAATCAAAACCAACCTTCTCTCTTATGTTCACATCCCAATTCTATTTAGATCAAACATTGATAGGTTCAAATTGAAATCAAATGATCTTCAAGGGGATAATTGTAAACACCTAGAATCTGACATACCTTGCATTAAGTTTAGTAGGGCCAAGTTTTGCCAAAGCCCGCTCCACCTCTTCACTAACCTAGTGAGCACAAAGGAACATCCAGAAATAAAGATACAAGAACCAGCAAATCCAGAAGACATCTTGTGCAAGTGCAACAAGAAAAGAAGATTAAGTATTGCGCAGTGATCCCAAAATCATGAAACATAAGCATGCTTCAATGTTGTTTCCAACCAATATAGGAGCTCGTGTACTAGTGAATAGACTTTCATGATCAAAATCTTTCAATGCCATGCAGCAGTACATGGAAAAATAGCCATTCCCAAATGTATTCGCAATAAAACCTTGAAATTGAGATCAACAAATCACTTTCCCATATACAACTTAAATTACATGTAGTGAGAGTCTAACACACTTAAAACCATCAGATAAGAAAGAGAAACTGGAGCAAATGGCCTCTCAAGGAAGCATTGACACTGTGCACATAGGCATAGATATTGAGAACACTCTCACGGGTAGAGAGAGAGACAACTCTGTAGAGATTACAACCGATATTGTTAACAGAGGTGGACCGCACCTCCTTGGGTGGGCGGGCTTATGGGCACACAGTAACCTCAGCAAAATGTATGAATATATCTTAAATAATGTATATGTTTATGTATTGGCACCCCTAGTAACAAAGGTGAAGTGGTTCCACTGGTTGATTTGAGGTGCACAGGTGGACTAAATAGCAGGCACACCCGGGTTCGGTTCCCACAATAGAATTTTTCCAAATTTTGAATTTTTGACATTTTAGTAGTTACAGACTTACAGTCAGTTTTGATTGTTTTCAGTTGCTTCTTTTTTAAAAATATAAATCAGAGAGTCCACCCGAATTTGTAGGGAGTCATTGATATGGCTTTGTTATTTGAAGAAAAAAAAATTAGCATGTCTACATTAAAGATAGTGGTGCCCCCTGCAATTTCAATACCTGGAGCTGCCTCTGATTGCTAATAGCTATAATCCAAAACAATATCATATCAGACAATGGCCACATAAATCCATGCTATAATCATTAGTTCTTAGCAGTCCTTCAAGATCAACCATCTATAACTTGTTCTGTTTAGCTCGTATGTACATAAACTTGTGCATTTTTTCATTTTTTAAAGTGTTAATGTTGTTATACACTAAAAAGTAAGTATTTGCAGCTTTCAACTCATACTGGAATTAGATACTGTGTCACAGCAGTACAAGGTATAATTGAATGGGTGGTTGAGACTTCCATGTATTAAGGTAATTATAGAACACAATGGAAGTGTTTCTTAGCATCCAGCGAACAGGAAGAGACGTTGTAAAAGGTCCAAATAGCTTACAACTCTCCGAAGAATTGGCTCCAGTGATGAGCAGAGTTTCTGCAGACTGTCCACCTTGAGCGCTTCAACAATAACACTGCATTAACCATGTAGTTTTCAATAAATGATGGAATTGTTACGATGAATGATACAAAGAAGATGAGCTCAGATAGAATAGGCATTGAATTTCAGCTTCACAGAAAAGAATAAGAGAGGCCAGTTCACACAGTTCCGTGTTAGATCGAAGCACAAAATGACATCCAATAGCTATAAAGCTATTGTTTTGGACTAATGTTACTATGAACAAAACAACATATTTTAAAAAGAAAATAGTATTCTAGATGCCATTACATAGAATAGGCTTGTGAGAGAGGCATCTGCCAATTTGACGGTCTGAGATACCTGAGTGTATATAGGATTTCAAAGAAGCTGGGTTGATATGATCATGTGTTTTCAAAGTTACAAACTAGAGGGGATACCGTTCCTCTCTTTGCAAGGTCTGCCTAATCCTATTGACAGTTAACAGCTCAAACTTTGACTAGACATGGTAACTGACCTACTTCATCACTTCTATTACTGTGGCAAGCAATCATGCCATATCCATTTTGCAAAACAAGAGGTGGCAACTGTCATAAATGTAGCTCAGATGACCTCAAAACGACTTCCTCAGGAGACATCAGTCCATATATTATTTACACTTAACAAACTGAGCCATGATAAAGCAGACAACACTATGAACCTCTGGAAATGATGCACCACATCAATATGTCCGGGAATGTGATACTCAATAATTAAGCTTAAGAGAATTTACTTCAATTGTCACTAGAAAAACCAGAAATTGGCTAGAAATCAAGCCAGATTATCTGTTCTCAATGGACTTTGCAATTATAGACAAACATATCCATCAAGATTATAACTTTTCTTAAAAAAATTTATTACCCACTACCCCATTATCCTATAATCACTCTCAAGTCTCAACCTTCACCCTCCACAAGAATTTGCAGTGTCTTTCAATAAAAGTAGCTACTGAAACATGATTACTCATTTGATGAAAAATCAAAGTGAGACCCTGTTACTCTATTGGCAAAATTAGCTCAAGAAAAAAGTATTAGAACCTATTTACATGGTAGTACATTTTCTACACCCTGATGTTATAGCTTAAAATGAATATTATGATAAATATACCTGGCAAGAGCTGGTCTTTTTCTCTCAGGTTGACCTTCTTCACTACTGCTAACATCAAGTCTACGTTTCTCTCCACTGGGTCTTTCCATGAAATTCCTCTCAATTACTGTATTGGGTATCTTTAGATCTGATTTTTCAGTTCAAATTTGAGCTTCCAAATTCCTAAGGGAAAGATTAAAAAGAGGAAAAAACAAAAGATGAAAGCAAAAAGGGAAAGCGGGAAAAAATTGAAATAAAGAAAGAGAAATGGTTGAGAGGTTTCGCGGAAATTTCGAGGAAGATCTTGAGATTCTGTTTTCATGGCTGCCAGCTTTTGGCTTGTAATACAAAAAAATCCATCATGTAAAACAAAAATCCATCAATTTTTGTACTCAATGACAACATTAACATACTAGTATAATTTTACAAAGTGGGGTTCGGAAATGGAACAGTGTACGTAAACCTTACTCTACTTTAAATATCGTTTTTGATAGATTTTTGGCTCATCGAATAATATAATCCATAATAATCTAGGAAAAGAAGTAATAGAAATACAAGTAACCGAAACAAAATAATATGATAGTTGAAGTACAAGGCAAGCATACTATATAACTACTAGTACGAATCGATAACAAGATAACATATTGTTATTTACTTATATTTTATCCTAATTTGTGACGTTCGAGCCTCCTATTTAAGGTCATATCCTTAGTAAGTTAGAATTGCATTATGGCATGTCTAATCACATTTCCCCAGTATATTTTCAAGGCCGAACTCATAAACAGATCTCCAAACTTGTTCAGTTTTTCTCTTCAGGTATCTCAATTATGTCATTTTCCTATTGAATCATTGAGTCACCCATAATTTGTTCTTTTTAAGCACCGTTGGTTGCTTTTGATCGGCTTTTCTATTATAAATGTCTTTAATTGTGTTCGTATTGCAATGATTTTGATTGCAAAAATGAAGACAAACTATGTGTTAGTATCATTTGTTTTCTAATGTGTTTAAATGACTTGAAGTAAAACACAATTATTTTCAAACAATTTCACTATCAATTGAACTAATGAGTTCTGAAACAACATATGTATCCTCTATCAATACCCCTCACAAAATCTGGTTCCACATCGGCCAATGGTGTTTAAAAAAAAATTATGGGTGGTTCAATGATTCAATGGGAAAATAGTCATAGTTAAGATATCTGAGGGGGGAAAACCCTTTTAAGTTTAGGAATCTGTTTATGTATTTGGCCTATTTTCAATCTATCTCTACCTCTTATAAATAATTATAGCTAGTCTCTTACACCTTCGCATTATAGCATTTGTACATCTCATTTTAACATTTTAAAGTCATTTTCTCGCATCTTATTCTCTATCGAAGCCACCCCCCGTTTTCTTCCAATTATTGTTATTTTTAAACTTAAATATGTCCACACATCTATCTCAACAGTCTTATTTCTACAATTTTCATCTTATCAATGCAAGAATTTTTGATTGACCAACACTCTATCTCATGTAAAATAGTCGATCTAACTATCAGTTTGTAGAACTTGTCTTTAAGTTTTGGTGGCACCTTTTTATCAGACAAAACTTCTGGTTTGAGCCTCCATTTTATTCATCCTTTTCCCAATACGGTGAGTGACATCCTCGTCAGTCTCCCTATTTCCTTGGATAAATAAACCTAAAATATTTGAAATTTCTTCAATTTTTTAACGACTTGTGTATTAAACCTCACTTTCATATATGTCTCGTGTGTTACTTGAACTTGCACTACAACCATAATGTCTTTGTCTTGCTTAACCTAAACTTTTTCGATTCAAGGTCTGTCTTCAGATCTCCAACTTAACATTAACTTTATCGAGAATCTCATCAATCAAAACAACACCATCTGCATTCATACATTGTGACAACTTAGTTTGAATTTATTGAGTCAATTTATTCATCTCTAACACAAATATTAACGAGCTACAAGATGATCCCTGGCGTAAACTTTGGTGCAAGTCCTTATCCTCTCATTTATATTGCTCTACCAGTTTCCTTACATGGTAAATAGTTTTTGTAGTTGAACGTCCCGATATGAATCTTAACTGATTTACGAAAATTTACATGTTCTTCCCCACCCTCATCTCCACCGCCCCTTTTCAAACTTCCATAGTGTGACTTAGTAGCTTGATACCCTTATAACTGTTAGCAATTATGAATGTAACTCTTGTTCTTATAAAAACAAAATCATGATGAATATTTCAAATGCAAAGATTACACAAATAATCAATTGAGAAAAATAATCCGGCCAGGAATCATTGTGAACAAACCTTAGTAAATAAATTAAAATACTATATGCTAAAATATCCGCGATAAATAAAATAGGCGCCACGCCACGGATGAAACATTTTTTTCTCTCTTTTTTTCATATGAAGGGGGAGGTGCTAAGGTTAAAGAAATAACAATGCTACTGCTGCTGCTTCTTGTTCTTCTTTTTACCTTTCCTCTTATCTCTCTTGCTCTGTGGCTTGGGCCGAGATCTCTTTTTCGCAGATTTCTTGAATGGTTTCTTCTTGCTTACCGGAATGTTTTGTTTGCTGTTTTTACTTTCTATAGCATGTTTAACTATTGCTGATGGTGGTGGCACTTGAGCTGGGGATTCTTCTTCTTCACGAGAGATCTCACTTGTTGTCACGATGACTTGCACATCGCCATTGTCATATGTCGTAGTCCCTTTTTAACAAGAAACAATAATCAATCAACAGACTAAGTTACGTAACTACTTCCAAACAAATCCTAACTATCAAGTAAAGAGGCAGATGTAACTTAATGTTACCGGGTTCATTTGAACCCAACCCGGTACTTTTGACGTGAAACACAAATTCATGTGTAAAAATTGACTAAAACTGCAACAAATCGTAGATACTAATGCATAATGCTAAAGAACATTTTAGGTTGAACCCATGAAAACTTAAATCTAGGATCCACCTCTGATCAAGTATTAAGTTAACTTTATCTTGTGCCACAAGGACAAAGCCCTACCTAACACCATTTTCATGTTTCTATGTTAAGTCTAGAGAAAAAGTAACTAACAGCAGTAATGTTTATGAAATAAGAAAGGAAGATCCGAGCATATGGAAGCAAACCTAAAAGAAATTATTGAAGCAAAACTAATTCAGGGAAGTTTGAGAAGCTTAATTGTCTCAGATACCATCAGCCACTTGGCTATAGTGCGAATAGAACATATACATAAGGCTTATAAGTCAATGATGATAATACAGAATTTGCATTTTTGGCATAGAGGAAAGTGAAGCAGCTAAGAAAATGATTCGATCATATGGTGTGATAATGATAATGTGAAAAGAGCCAGTCAAGGGTGCCTTAAGTTTCTAATCCTTCCTCAGTTAAGTGTAATTCTGCATTAGAACTCTATGAGTATGTTTTACAAGTATGCTGATAACTATCAAAGATATTACATATAGGAATTCTCAGCTTTTCCAACGAGGACCAGACCATTCTCAATGGTAGCTCTGGATAGACTTCAGCACTAAAACAGTTTCCACTAATGTCATTAGGGAATACCTGAAACTGTTGCATTAGGCTCATTTTCCTCTTCGACGTCGAGGTCCTCATCGGGCTCATCAGTTACAGCAGCTGAATCAGGCGCTGCTCCACCAAAGATGGCAAACTCTCTCTCCTCCTTTCTCTGTAAAAGAAAGTGAAAAAGTAAGATAGCCCACAATGACAAGTTTGATTACATCAAGGTTGCAATTAGTAATAAAAGTAACAAATATTTGAATGATCATACTAACTGCACTGTTTAACTGGAAACGAATTTGACGCACAACCAGGCAGACGAAAATGTGTTAAGGCACTTCAGCCATACTCATAAAAGAAACAGTTATTAGAATGATTACCACTACAAAAGAAGCAAATTCGAGACAATTACTGAGACAGCAAGGAACTTCAAAGCCATGAAAGTATTTAACATTAACCTGGATTGTGCTAATCTCCGTAAGAAAAGGTAGAAAAAACAAGTCAAAATTTAAAATGTTTTTGCACACTGGTCCCTATTGTTTGTTTATAGATAGGCTCGGTAATAAGACCGGTAGAATTTGTATACATGTCTATTTATTTGAGGGGGTAATTGTCATGCACACAAATAAAATCTTACAAGGACCTCCATTTAACAAGCCATAAACATGACGCCACACTTATAACCTTGGCTATAAGAAGACTTTGCTAAGGAGGGTAAAGGGAGAAATAAGGACTTGTTCCATCATGGTTAGAATAAATGCATCTGTTATTTGACGGAAACAGAGAACAGTTTGGGAAGGAAATCAACATTTCTGTTCTGTGAGTTCACCCCTAACAAATGTTGACTGGAAAAAGATTGTACCATAAATCTCAGTTACCATAGGAAAAAGTGTTTTCAAATAGCAATCCGTAAGACTTTGAGTAAACGAACGATTCAAGCTCCTTCCACAAGAAAGTTCAGCTTGATAACTCGATAAGTTGTATTGACAGAGAAAAACCACTCTTTCAAAGGTGGGATCAATCCCAACCTATTTCTTCTTAGCCTAACAGTCTCTTTACTAGACCTAACATCCTGTCATCACTTTCAGATACAAGGAAGTTGGACGACTAGTTATTAGAAGCCTGTGACAGAGAAGAACAGCAGTAGACAACATGTAATCTTGAACAGCCACGGTTCTGTTTTGTATATAGATGATGCAATAGTTGAGCTGGTCAACCTCACTCTTTCTTAATTCAAGATTCCAAATGAAGAAAGTGGTTTGAGTTACGATGTCAACAACATAAATAACTAAACATGAGTACATTCAATGACTCCAGTAATGCAATAGAGAGAATAGAGTATACGCAAACCTTACAGGTGTCCCCGAATGACCCTTAACTCAAAACATTGAAGAAAACATAGCAACTAACAATAAAATAACACTATTAAGCTAAAGTTTGAACCTTTTTACGAGCCTCAATACGTTTTCTCCGTAGGGCTTGTTCCAATTGAACTTGGGCATCTTTTCTTCTCTTCTTCTTTCTCTTATGAAACCCAGTAACAAAATCCCTAAAATCAAATTCAAAACAATCGGTTCAAAAACCAAAAGAACAGAAATCAAGAACAGTTTATACAGCGAAAGAAAGGGGAAATACTTGAGGTCTTTTTCATCGAAAGAAACAGTTAGGGCTTTGTTCTTGAGGGCTCTTTTCTTGATATGTCTACCTCGTATCCTCAGATTTTGTCCTCCATCTCCCAATACAGCTTCAGCTTCAGCTTCTTCCATGGCAGCTCTGTAAAACCTAAAACCCTGAAATTGGAACTAATGCTTCATGGAGTTGTATCTTTAGCTTCACAAATTTCCTATTATCTTTACTAAACTTTTTAATTTTATATTAACTTACTTATTGGCGGTAATAAAATAAGCGAAAATCACGCGGTTATACAAAATTATGTATACTACTTAATTACTCATCATAGATATAGTTTGATATAATAGCCACTCACGATTAACATTGTATATATTAATTGTATGGACTGACTTCGAGTTTGTATAATTAGTCACGTTTGTATATCAATAATTCGCCAGAATATACGAATAAATATGTATAAGATACAATAATATAGACGATATACATATACAATTCACCTCTCTCCCACTCTTTGCCAAATCTTGCTCGTCTATCTCCTTCCTCTCCCAATCTTGCTTGTCATATATACAAATGCATATGTAGATATACACATACAATGCACCTCTCTCCCACTCACTGACCCTCTCTCGCTTGCCTCTCTCCTTCCTCTCCCAATCTCGCTCGTCTTGCTCATCCCCTCCCAATCCCGCTTGCCATATATATAAATACATATGAATAATGTACAATTATCTAACCGATATACATATACAATTCACCTCTTTCCCATTATTTGTGCTCTCTCGCTCACCTCTATCCTCCCTATTACACGTAGCTACGAATTGTAACTATCAAACTATAGCTATAGAGAGTAATTAATCTATTCTTGAGTGGCTAAATGTGAAAGTTCCTCATAAAATAATAAGGGTTGCTCAAATAATTTTTAAAAATATCTATGTTTATACAGTAGAGCCGTCAATATGGGCTAGGCCCGTTGGGCCGGCCTGACCTAACCCGGGATTTAATAGGGTTGGACTATGATTTTTGGAGCTCATTTAAGAAAAAGATTTTTTAGCTCGGCCTGAATAAGTCTGCTGATTTGAGGGGCTTGAGAAACAGACCATGTGTCAATGAAAATTAATTAAAAAATATAATATAATATTAATATTTAAAATTGAAGAGAGTCCAAACTCAAAACAATTAGGTTAATATTTTTATTTATATATTTTATACTTTATCTTGAAAAAAACTTTATAAATATTATAAAGAGAGTTTTATTTGTGGATTTGATTAACAAGTAGTAACATTAATATCATGTAATATTATTTTGTGGATTTTTATCATAATATTTTTAAATTATAATTTATAATTTAATTTAATAATTATAAAAAATTATAATTTTTAAAAAAGTGGGCTGGCCCGGCAAGCCTGTAGTCCACGTACTTGTGGCTTGAGTCGTTCATTTTTTGGCCCACACAAAAAATGGGCTAGCCCGGCCTGACCCGTGAAATGTCAAAGCCTATATGAGTTAGCCCGGATGGGGTGTGCTACCCCATATTGACAGCTCTACTATACATAAAAAATAATAATAATAATAATAATAAATAGAACCTCTTGAGGATTTTTTTTTTAGAAAAATAAAATAAAATATGCTTATAAATTATCTTGGTATAAAATCATAAATATATGTTTTTTATGAAGTAAGTTGTTTCATTACCGACATCAAGAGGATGCAAAGAGTACAAAAGTAGATATGCTGGCTTCGTTACATGATAGCAGTTAAGACACGGGAGCCAGCCACCAATTCAAAAAATCTAGAGAAGGCTTAAAACATGACTATGTCTGGCCTAGAGTTAAAGAGCTAATAAAATCTAAGAAAGTAGGATAACTATTCACATAAGACGGTTGGACCAACAAAAAAGATTCAACAAACATTCAGCTTTGAGTGAGTGATTAGGAGCTAAAAATTCCATCAAAACACCGTTGATTCCTTTCTGTCCATAGGCACCAAAAAATACATGCTGGAATCATTCTCCAGGTGTTCCTGATGGCCCATCAACTGTCCAATGGCCCCAACTCACAACAACTTCTCTGATAGTTTGAGGCATCACCCAGTTCAAACTGAATGAGGAAAGGAACATATGCTATATGCCTGCAGCCACCGCACAATGCAAGAAAAGATGATTTACTGATTCTGCACTTTCCTGACATAAAAACACCTGCTTACTAGCTGGAAGTTTCTTCTACAAAGATTGTCCACTGTCAAATAAGCATTCTTTAATGTCAACCAGCTGAAGCATATTACCTTTGGTGGTAGCTTTGCTTTCTAGATTAGTTTTCATGGCCAAAAATCTGTATTATCATTCTGGGCGTGCAACTTTTTATACCCCTTCTTTACAGTGTATTCCTTTACCTAAGGATCCCAACACATGATATTCATAGCTTGCGGATTCATGTTGTAACCTTTCAGTCTACCCATTAATTCAATCAAATTATCAAGCTCCCAATCATTAAAGTTCTCATGAAAAGTAGATTCCATTGCTAATAACTAAGCAATTTTATATACACTTCCGATATTTTTATATGAAAACATATATTTTAAATCATAAAATATATATATTTTAAATCATAAAATATATGTTTTCATGTAAAAATATTAGAAGTGTGTATAAAATTATTAAGTTATTAATTTCTCAAAACGATGAAACATTATTAAAAGTTCATCCCGTTGCACCTTGTATCTAACCTTATTTGTCCCAAGGACATATTTGACGTATTAATTATGAGTCCATATAACCACATAGATTTTGGCTTAGGTTATCTAAATATATATGTTTTAAATAAATCATCAATTAAATATATATATAAATTATAAATTTTGAACATTATAAGTTTTAAGGAAGTGACGAAATTATAAGTTTGAATCATAAAGTTCAAATATCTAGATCCACATCACTTACTTTTATGGACAAAAACTTTAAGTATAATAAAATTTGATACTTGACTTTCAAGATTTGTCCATAAAACAGGCGGGGATTAAACATATAGATTTGAAGTTATACTTATCACAAACTAACTTCAAATATATATCTGATATTGACATATCAATTAGGTAAAATGATCTAATGCACACATATACTTAATTAAGCATAAATAACTTGCTCATCGCACCCTCACCTGCCTCATTCTCCTCTCCACAATCGTCGTCCTTTCAACGCACCATCAACAATCCCTCTGCAAACCACCAAGGACCGCTTCGCCTCCCATTTTGGTGAAAAAAGAACCAGCGCCACCTCTCTCACTCTACTGCAAATCAAATATGATATTTACTTGCCTCAACGTACGTGTAGCAACACACTTTTGCAAACTCAGTTATTTTATAATCATATAAGTCTGGTCAATAGTCAATGGCTAAAGAAATTTGATCTATTGTATTTTATTAAATTTAAGAATTCAGTATTCATAACATACATTTATATAATTATAGGAGTCCATTAAACCATTTCGTCAGATTAATTTTGCAATTGAAACTTCAAACTTTCAAATATTAGACATGCATGTGACTTTTTAGAAAGTGATCTAAATATGTAGTGCTTCTTTATAAGCCAAGTCGACAAATTGACCCTAGCAATATCTGAACCTATTATTGACATTGTCATATCTTTGCACATTCATGAAAGTATCATAATAAAAAAAAATGTCAAACTAGTAATAAATGTTTTTGAGAAAAAAAACTCAGCATCACATTTACAACTAGAAATAGTAAAACAGTTGGAGCCATATAAATAAAAGTAGTGATATTAAATAGGATGATCCTTAAAGTCCATGGTCGGCCCTGCTCTTTTATTACTTATCAGCGTCAATAAAAATTGTGGTAGAGTAGTAAATACTTTTTTATTCTTAGTCAAATTAGGTATTTGGTTCGAATCTCCTTAAGTAAAGAATCGTCTTTGTTAGGAAGTACTTAATTAATTACCTCCTAATATGAGATTTTCCGATGTTAATTTAAATTTAATCAGACTCTAATATTATAAATATACGACGTCAGAATAAAGAAAAAAATGAATGTCATGCTTGTATGCACTACTAGTTGGCTACTTGGTGATTTAGTGTTTCCTTGTGTGTCAATCTTGAAAATTAAAGAAGCAAAGAAATCTAAATTTGATAACACGTACTATATAAAATCCTATATTTGTTAGGCGTTTAGTATATTCATCTCTTGTTATTAGTAAATTATTTCAAAAGAAAGTCGAAATTTGATCTTTTAACTTTTGAATATGGTTTAAAAACTAAACCTATGTTGGCCTTATTCTCGAATACTTCAAATTTGTGATTAAGAATGAAAAAAATACTTATAAGTAACAAGATATTGGTTTAGAAATGAATTTTCTATTTTTTATATCAAATAAATTGATAATGCATTAACCGATTTTATTCGTTTATCCATCACCGCCATCAATACTACAACTATTAATATTACTTCATTCTAAATCCTTTTGCCTCAAAACATTTGTTTGCATTCACCGCTTAGGATAATATTAAGAGGGAATTTTGTAAACAGTCACTATAAAAAATTTAATTATATTCTATAATTATAGTTTGTATATTTATGGATTGTAGCTATAATTTAAGTTATTTTATTTATATAATTTATTGATTTGTATAATACACGAATGCATTTATATAATTCAATTTTTTTTGTATAAACTCGAAATAACAAATTATGTGATTACAAACATTAGAAGTGTAAACAGTTGTACAAACTATATTATACAAATTTTAAATTATACAAAAGTTATAAAAAAATATATTACACAAATTGTGAATTCTACAAAACCACAAATTACAAAACTAAAAAGCCGAGCCGCGTAATTATAGCTAAAAGTAGGTCATAAATTATAAATAAGGCAAACTATAACTATATTAAATAATTAACTAGTATATATTTACTGAATTTTTCCTAATATATTAAGGAAAACTTTCACATATAGCCACTTAAAAGTAATTAATTACTCTCTATAGCTATAGTTTGATAATTACAATTTGTAGCTACGTGTTATTTGGAGGAGAGAGACGAGCGAGACTGGGAAAGAGATGAGAGAGGTGAGAAAGAGGAGAAAAGAGTGGGAGAAAGGTGAATTGCATATGTACATTGGTTAGATAATTGTATATTATACATATGTAATTGTATATATGGCAAGAGAGATTGGGAGAGGGAGGAGAGAGATTAGCAAGACTGG